GCTATGCTGTCCCCAGGCCTCAGGAGGCTCCAAGCAGGGCCCCAGAAGTCAGGCCCATATTTACTCTGTCCTATGGGTGGAGGTGAGACTATGATGCAGGCATACTCCGGATGGGCTGGTCCACCAGTGCACAGTCCCCAGTCTGCTGGAAGCTCATAGCAGGGCACTGCAAAGTGATTTCCTCCCATGGGTGAAGGCAGGACCAGGATGCTGGCAGATTCTAGATGGGATTGTCTGCCTGGATGGGCTCCCCTGTGCATGCACAGGCCCCAGGCCTCAGGAAGCTCCAAGCAGGGCCCTGGAAGGCAGACCAGAAACAGGACCAGGCTTACCTTCTCCGGTGGTTGGAGGTGGGACTAGGGCACAGGAAGTCTCTGGATTGGCTGATCTGCAGTGATGGGGTCCCCTGCACACAGTACCCAGTCCTCAGGAGGCTTTAAGCAGCCTGGCTCTTGTGTATATAACAATAGCTGCTATGTGTTCAAGAGTTTTGTAATCATGTGATATCTAAAAGATAGCTTTCATATTACCTTTCTCCATCCTCTGGGTTGTATATTATTTCTGCCTCTTCCATGATATTCCCTGAGCCTAGAATGAGGGAACTAATAAAGATGTCTTTTGACATACCAAAATTAAACTAAAACTAAATAAACAATTTAAACATCTATAAACAGTGATGTGAATGAAGCAGTAGTAAAAAGCCTCCCAACCAAAAAATATAGTTAAGAACCAGATGGATTCATCAAATTCTACCACAATTTTAAAGGATCACTTGAATTATCCCATAAAATAGAAAAAAAGGAGGCTTCCTCTTTTCTTTTTTACTTTAACAAAAGCAGCATTTCCCAGATGATTCCCAAATGCAATGAAGTCACCACACAAAAATAAAACAAAATTATAGGCTAATTTTCCTGATAAACAAAGATGCAAAATTTTTCACAATACTGGCAAACCGAACTCAGTACTGCATAAAAAAGACCATTCATCACGATTAACCTGCTTTATTCCATCAATTCAGAGATGGTTCAAAATTCATATATCAATAAGTGATTAATCATATAAATGGAAAAATGACAGAAACCACATGATCATCTCAATAAACACATGAAAAATGTGAGCAAAACCCAACATCCTTTAAAGATAAGTCTGTATAATACAGCCTAGATACAACAAGCCTATTGCCAACATCATGCTAAATGGAGGAAAACCTCAAAAGATTTCCCACTAAGAACAGGAATAAGGCAATGGTGCCCACACTCTCTCCCTCTATTAATATAGTACTTGAAGTCATAGTTAGAACAGCATGACAAGAGAAGGAAATAAAAGGGATACAACTGGGAAAAGAAATCAAGGTATCCCTATTTGCAGATGATTGATATATATATATATATATATATATATATATATATATATATATATGAGACCACAAAAGCCCCACAAAAACACTCTTACAGATAATTAATTTGAGCAAGTGCAAGACACAAAATTGACACACAAAAATCAACAGCCAAACTATATACCAATGACAAACAGAGTGAAAAAGAAAGGGAAGCAGTCCCATTCACAGTAGCCACCCAAAATATTAAAGACTTTTCTGATGGAAATTTCAAGACACTGAAGAAAGAAATTGACACTAAAAGATGGAAAGGCACCCCATGCTCATGAGATCAAAGTGTTATGGTATCAAATGACATCAAAGATAATATGAAAAACTATCTTATCAAGAGCAATCTACTGGCTCAGTGCAATCATCTTAAATCAAATTTCCAATGCCATTATTCACAGACAGAAACATTCCAAAATTTCACATACAGGCACAAAAGACTTGGGATAACCAAACCATTCCTGAACATCAGAAAAAAAAAAAAAAAACTACTGTGTAAGATTTCACCATACCTGCTGATTTCATACTATTCTACAGAGATGTGATAATGAAAATAGCATGTTACTGGCACTAAAACAAACACATAGATAAATGAAAAAGAGTTGAAGACCTAGATAACAATCCACACAACTACAATTACCTGACTTTTTGACAAAAATGCCAAAAATATGCATTGGATAAAAAGCATTTTCAAAGAACAATCTGAGAAAACTGGATGTCCACATGAGCAACTTCTAGAACATCACTTTGAAACTCCGTAAATTATCTTTGAGCAAACATCTTAAAATACTATGTTATTAGGTTATCTCTTTTTATCTTATTTGCCAAAGTCTTAGATCATTGTTTAATATATTTGCTGATATTAGTGTTCATTCATACCTACTTACATGTTTTCTTTCTGTTCCCCATGAGTTTTTTTTTTTCAATTTTTCTTTTTCCCATCTGTCTATGCATTACTTAAGTAATTTTTAGAATAACATTTTATTCATCTATAGTGTTTTTACTCTGTCTTTTTGTGGTAGTTGCCCTCAGTACTACTGTCTGTGTATGTGTGCATAACTTAAAATATACTAGTATCAAATGAGGTAGGAAAACCTTGCATTTCTCTCTACCTTTTATTTCTGTTTCTAATGTCATTGTGTTAAATATTTCCTTCATATATATTTAAAACTGTAAGGCGTACGGTTTTTTCTCTTGCCGCCGCCCGCAGTCTTGTTCCGCCACCGCGCCAGCCCCAAATAACACACAGAGACTCTGTATTTGGTACAATACTGTTGGCCCTGTTACTTGTTTCTTATCGGCTAGCTCTGCCTTAATTATTAACCCATTTCTGCTGATCTATGTATTTCTCTTACCAGGGAGCCGGCGGCATACTGCTTTCTTCAGACTCTCCATCTTGACTTCTCCTTCCTACTTCCTCTTTCCTCCTTGTCTCCTAGTCCCTCCTATCTTCCTTTCCTATTGGCCAACAGTGCTTTATTATTAACCAGTATGAGAAACATATACAGAATGACATCTCCCATCAAAAACTATATTAGACAATATTATAATTGGTATTTCAACCATCAACAAAATTTATGAAATTTAAGCATGGAATAAAATCTATCCTATTTAACTATATTTTTTTTTAACTTTCTATTTGTCTTTCTTCTTTGGCAATACCAGAATTTCTTCTTCAATTGTTTTCTGTTTGGAGAACTTCCTTTAAGTATTATCTTAGTAGAAGCATAGTGTTGATAAATTTCCTTGGTTTTCCTCTATCTAAAATTGTCAAGATTCCCCTTCTACATCTGAAACATAATCCCACTTTTGAGGATCATTGTATTATTTTCTTGTGACCTCCACGGCTTCTGAACAAATATTTGCCATCATTGAAATTAGTAGTATGTCTGTTTTTCCTTCTATCCCAGTCTTTGTCTTCACATTGCAGAAGTTGAGCTATAAAGGGTACAAGAAATCAACTATTCTCTCCATTCCCTTTTGGTTCGATCCACTATGGGTACCTAAGTTATTGTGGTTTCTGGTTCTAATATTTCAATTTCCTGAGAAGCATTATTGTATTTCTTGGGGGAAGCATTTAAATTACTGCTATGTTAAAATTCTAGTCAGGTAATTGCAACATCTGTGTCACACTAATTAATAATAATTTTCATTTAACTTTAGGCCTTTTTTCTAAAATCTGGGGTTTTTAATATCTTAAAACTGTTTTTTATTTAAATCTTCTGTTTTGATTTGTCTGTCAGGAAAGGGAGATATCATCTTTCTTTTACCTAGTAATATAGAAGTCCAAGTAAACTAGATAGCTTCTTTGATGTAAAGGAGGTTGGGGCCTCTTATTAGTGCTAGGCAAGCATGATATATACCAGTCCTCACTAGACATGTCCTGCTATCACTCCAGTGGGATTGGGAGAAGTGTCCCATTGCTGTCAAGTAGGGTTACAGTAGGCTCTCTACTTGATCTTTGCTCACGGAATAGGATGGTATCTCAATGTCTTTTCTGGCAGTTAGCTGGAATAAAATGGTTTTGGTTTAAGGGTTTCAGTCTCAGAAGGATTTTTTTTCTGATCCTGTGCCTAGAAAAAGCAAGCCTTTGTTGAAGTATTTTGTTTGTGCCCATTGGCACTTGAGGTTGCTTGTTTCTTTGGCTATAAATCTAGTAGAATATTTGAAGCAAAAGAAATCCCAGGGAACACATCAGTGTTACTCATCAGATCCCAAGGTCCCTAGACAATTTATATGCTCTCTATCTTACAGAATCCTCTGATGTTTGTTTTATATAACATAACAAAGTTTTTTTTGTTGTTGTTGTTGTTTTCACTCAGTGGGAAAATGGGAAAAAGTGCTTTTCTGACATTCCTAACATCAAGATTGTAGTGTCTGGTACCATATAGGCAAGAAAGATTACAGCAAGGAAAGATAACCCTATATTTGAATACCTTAACATATTTCTTATTTCACATGTAGCTTGTGGCAAACAGAAAACAGTTTTCCTGGGTTTACCTGTCTAGCATCCGGCCTGGAGGATGTGCTGGAGTAGCACATTAGTGTCCTGTCAACAAATACACCAGGGTTTCTGAGCCCCTTTCAGCATCCATTACTTCTTTGCAGTGTCAGTTGTGTTTGGAACTATTGGTCTGATCCCTTGGCTGGATACTAATGTGACCAGAGTTGCATAGGCTCTAAACTATCCCTTTGATTCTGCCACCATGCTTTTTACTAAAGTGAAACATCTCCAAAAATGGGAGAGCCCTCCTTGAGTCCCACGCAAAATCAAAGCCAGAATTAGGACTCATTTGGCCCAATTGTATTGCCAGTGTGATTTTGAACTCATCAAGCCCCTCCTCCACCTTCTCTTCTGCTTTAAAGTGCAGTTTATCTATCTCGTGGACATGAATGACCATTTTATCCTGGGCGACTGCCTTAGGGGGCATATTCCTCTTTCCTGGGTGGGGGGAGGGGACGTGGCCCATGAGAATGGTTTGGTGGGAAAAAAGACAGGAAAATGAGTGAGGAAGATCCTTCACAAGCCTTCCTTCAAAGTTGAAAGCCTGTGATTCATGGGGTCAATGGTCTCATCTTCATATCTGAAAGACAGTATACTTTTTGTCTCCTTAAGCCCTGTGTCTAGGTCGTTTGGGAAACGCCTTGGAGAGTCAAGAATAAAATTGCAGGTCAAACAATGGATGACTGGAAAAGTCGGCTTGTAATCGAGAGCATGCTTCCCCATTTCAACATGGTGGGAAATCGTCAGGAGCCCAGAAAGCTCCAGGAATCGGTCAGAAAATGGGCTATGGGGGGAGGGGGTTGTTGAATGCTTCTAACCTTAAATTTGAAATGAGATGTGTTGTTGAAATTCTTTGTGCAAATTGGGTGCTGGAGACCAACTGAAAATATAAGGGACTTAAATCAAGAAGAACTACCCCTGAACCTGTGGGTTTCTAGAATTAAAGAAAAAAGAAAGAAAAAAGAAACAAACAAACAAACAAACTGGGCATAGAAAGGGATTCCTATTTACTGTCTGGGCCTGGTGTCTTTTCTCAAAGTCATTTGTCACATTTGTGATTTCTTCTCTAGGAATTCAAACATCATCCAAGTGTCTGAAACTCAGTACTGGGGATTCTAGTGGTCCTTCTAAATGCAAGCATGACAGTAGGAAGTATGAGAGCCTCTGGTTGCTGGAGTCTGGCAGACGGTGCCTGCATCACCAGTCTACCAAGATTAGGTTAGCAGGAGCTGCAGCAAACACAATGGCTGTTATCTCAGGGTATTAGCCCACAGGGGAGTGGCTTGCTTAATCTCTGAAAGTAATAGAGCAGAAGGGAAATGGTTCCTATAGAGCCATGGATCTGTTTCCTTCCTGCTCATGGAACTGGGAGCCCTGAGCTCTGAGGTAATGTCATTTCACATAACTGGGAGACTTATCTTCCCCAGTTCCCAGGGCAATCTGCTTTGTTCATTTTAGGAATTTTGTTATGTGTACAGGTGTGAGTTATTGAATCATGTTTCTTTTTTCCCTTCATTGTCAACAATGTATTGTGGATATGCTATTAAGTAGAGTGCATAATCTTTTAAAAAATTATTTGGTGAGTAGAGTACTACAACATTCGTAGAAATGGGCAATCAGACAGGATAGACAGAGAAAGATGGATTGGTTGGCCAGTGTGGCCTGTTTACAACCTTCCAGCAATCAACTGAGGCATTTCAGAAGAGAATCTCTAACACCCATTGAACAATGCTTTATATTTCAAACTCCTCTCTGATGGTCAACATTTGACTCTGTAAAGGGAAGTATCTAGTATGTTCCCAGAGTCCACAATCAGTTTAGGCTTGATTTTAAATTCTTCCTTTGTTTTCCACTCTCGTGGGCATAATCCTAGGCATAAATGTGGGTGATCTATAGGTACAGACAGGAGGCTTCCCTGCTCCTCACTCACTGTCCAGACCCTTCATAAAAATGAAGTGATTCTAGTAAGTTACATTTTGTTTCCATCTATATAGGTCATTGTGCATGGCATCTAGAGATCACTGTCCTTGGAGTGGGTTCTTAAAGCAATTTTCACTGTAGAACAGTTATCTTTGCTCATGCCATTTGCTGGCTTGGGTTCTCATGGCAAATGACCTCTAGTAGCCTTCATAATCCTTGCAAGAATGCACATTTATTTCTTTAGTCACACCTCACACTTGACCAAAATCACCTGTTTTTCCTCTTTCGTGGCACATTTCATTCTCTGTCCTTGGCTCAGAGTGCCCCAATTGAAGGGGTCCAAAAATATACCTGAGTTTCTGAAAGCATCTCCATCAGATGAGGCTTTTCCTCAGCTGAAACTGCATCTGTCTTGGAAAACGCATATGCTCACCAAAAGGAATAGTACTGAGAGCCTGCTCTACAGTGCCTGATAAGCACTGTTTCTCCCATCTGTGAGCATCCAGGGCAGCTCTTGGAGTGCTATGAGAGCAGCAGCTGAGTTTTAGTGGTCAATCAATCCCTGGAGCCTCAGGAAGGTACCTAATGGGAGCTTCCAACTTTGCTGCAGCTGCTGAGGATCTGAACAGCAGGGGACTAGAGAAGAGTCACAAATTGACAGATGAATAGCAGCATATCCTGGGTGTTCAACAACAACAGCAAAAACTGCTGTCCAAAGACATTACCTGCAGGGATTCAAATGACCATGGCTGAAGACTGTCCTTAGCAGTAACTAGCTAGCCTTCCAGGTGTGGTCTTAGCTGGATTTCATATGTTTCCATTGTTGGTTGTATTTCAGAGGCTTAATGACATCCAGGGTTAATATTCTGGTCCCAAGAAACAGCATGTTCATCCACTGCCCTCTAGAAAATACAATTCATATGAACCAATAGCAAGAATAACTGCCTGGATTTCAGTATTGACTAGATGTTAATATTTTGCTTAGCATTTAGGGACCACTCCCTCCTGATTACACTAAGAAGTCATTACCACACGGAAACTGAGACACAGATAGGTTAAGCACCTTGGCCAAAGCCATAGACCTAATAACAGGCATCTTTCAGAGCACATTGTCCTGCACCATACTCTGCAGGAAAGCTTCTTTTGAAACACAAAAGATGGAGTGCACTTTACAAAGTAAAGAAATGTAGTGATTCAAGTTCCTTTTCAGCATCATTGTTCATCTAGTACCATGATTACTTAATGACTGCTGTGGCAAAGGAAAAAGAGGTTTTCTTTTGGCAATGTTTGGCTATCTATCCAAGGTTAGTGGATTCAGTCAGCGTGTAGAACATCATGTCCTTTCCTTTGAAGTTAAGACTGGACTCCTTCTACAGATCCAGTAGGTTGATTGAAAAGCTCAAAGGCATTGAGTGCTCCAGAGCCTGCATGGGGCAAAGACTAAGTGTTCAAGTCACATGTCATCTCTGCCTCTGTCTGTACCTATTCCATTTGTACAGCAGTTTCTGAGCACAATGGAGGAGTTGGTCTGAGGATATAGCTCAGTGGGCACAGTGTACTCAGTATGCACACAGCTCCTGTTTCAGTCCTCTTTACCGCCAAAAGAAATACCACAAACTCTTCTAAATATAACACAAATGGGGAAGTTAAGGTCAATAAATGTATAGTTTGGGAAAGAAAAGGGCACGTACCCTCTGTTCATCATCTATGTTCAGTGCCCCAATGTTAAATAATGCTATAGGTTACAATAAGTTGGCATGCCCAGTACATCTTCTAAGCTTGCCAACTACTCTTTGGCTGAAAGAGAGGATGTTCTTATCACTTTCTTTATGAACAAAATAATAAGGTCTGAGGAACGCAGTACCTTGTGGAGAATAGCAAATGAGAGGGTGGGGAGCTACATCAACATTCCCTTGAATAGTCCTAAGGGCAGTGTGCTCTCCCCCTACAGAATGACCCAAACCGACCCCAATCTGCCTCCTCACCTCTAATTGAAAAGTGGAAAAATGAATTCTGAGAAGGTAGTACATAACCCCACCTATAAAGAGTATGTGGAGATTTGAATTGCTGAAATAATACTGCCACACTTCCATCTGACCCATTTCTTTAAAGATGCCCAGTAGGAGGAACCACTCTTTACCTCCAGGCCAAGGTCTGTGCCCATCAACCTTAGAGCTCTGTTCTTTTATTTGCACAAAAAGCAAACTCAGAAAGGAGATCTCAGAGCCTAAAAGCTGCAACTAGTGGTATAACCTGGAATAAGTCCCCTTCAGTTTGAATTCTGAGAGCACAGATATGATTTATAAGGGCCTGTCTATGTCCTGCCTCCTGCTACAATCCCAGTGTCCTTTGCATGTGCATAGCTCTAAGCTAGAGTCTGTGACCCAGGACTGTAGTCTTCCTTCACCAAGAGCATGTCTATTCTATGTTGAAGTTGAGACCAGGAGGAGTGAGTCTGCTGCTTCCCACTTTACTGCTTTCTATGAGTGGATTAGAGCCTCCAGTATACACATTCAGCCCTGGGTATAAGACAAGAGCCATGGACAGAAGAAAATTCTAGGTGTCCTCGTGCTTTCATCCCAGTGGCATAAACAGGTGAAAAGTGGATAGCATCTTTCTTTCATTCTGGTGGTTACCTTTACCCCTCAGACAAGCAGTCTACTTCTAGCCTGGCAGCAAACCAGGCTGCTTTGGAATTGTATGGGAAGACATGTGAAGAATTGAAGTGACTCTGAAATCTCGAGGTTCAATGTTGGGGGTCTTTGCTAATATTCTCTACTTCATGTAGGCTATAGGCCTGCTACAAATGCAAGTCTGGGCTCAAGAGAGAGGATCCAATGTATGTGGGTTACACTACTGAGATCCAGGTGATGCCTGAGAGAAGGCTCAACCACTTACTGAGATCTTAACTTGAGCCTTGAGGTCCCAGTTTCCTCAATGGTCAAGTGGGCTTAATAAGTACTTGCTGCCTGCTTCTGGATCTCTGAGGTTATGAGTTAGACAAAGATATGGACTTGTCCTAAAGCACACAGGCTATGACTGCTCTTGGCACCTTTTTAGCAATCAGAAGTTGGCATTGGCTCAAAATTATTTCTTTCAACCAGAAAGGCAACGAACAATGTGTCCTTGGAGCTCAGTTTGGAATACAGAGGACCCCTAAGGATGGCTATAGTCTCATCAGCAGCCCCGTTGCATAGAGGAGAGCTGGATTTATAGTGCAACTCTGAGCATTCTGGGTCAAGGCCTGCAGTGCATATGTGCCTTGCTATTTTGGGGATCTTCCCCATGGAGCACGCAGCTGTTCGCTCCCTTTGCCCACTCTGCCCCCCTTCTCCTCCTTCTGCAGCAAGGGCCCTTTCTTGATATTGACACCCAAGCAGGGAGGGAAGCCAGGCACAGGCTTTGCCTGCAGACTGCTCTCTTGGGCAAGGACAGAGCAACTTTCAGCTTGAAGGACACTACCAGGCTTAGCATCTGGGTCCTAGCTGAGAAAATCAGTGACCTGCAAATCAGCCTGTTAGTGGGGGATGATGCTGGGCAGGGAAATCCATTTCGCAGCTGGCTTCCACAGGCATGTGGAAGCTTGGTGATACCTACCTCTGAACTTATGGGAGCACATAATGGCCTTATCTGAATTCCTACTCAGCCCCTCCTGCAAATTCCATATTAGGCCCAAGGTAACAGGTGTCTGGAAAGGAACCACTCCAGGCAACACTGAAAACCAAATTTCATTCCTTTCTAGGGAATGTGCAACCCTGGGAGCCAAGGCTTGGGGATGTGAGCATATGGAACCCCAAAATGCAGGCAAGCCTGTGCAAACTCAGGATTTTGCTTTGCACTAAACACCCTCA